TTGCAGGTGACCAGCCTTTTCCAAGAAAGCGTCAAATGTTCATCAGAGCAGAGCCACCCACATCACATTTTCCTAAGGAAACAGTAGTGGCTGATTCAGCCACCGTTCTCTCCCTCTTCTGGAGGCAGAAAGCTTTCTTTCCACTCTCACTCCCCAGGTCCAGGTCTTACAAATTCCCAGCAAGCTCTCTAGGCCTCAGTCTCTTCATCTGCAAAATGGGGGTAAGAGTAGTGCCTGCCTCAATGTTGTGAGGAGCCACAAAGGAGGCCGTTCGTGTAAAGCACCCAGCACAGTGCCTGAGATGGAATGAGTGCGCGCTGTTAACCCAAAGCTTCCCCGATTGCCAGGTTTCCTACTACAGCTGCCCACGTGGGTGTGGTAGAGGGAGAAGCACATGCGTGCCCAAGCAGTTCGGCAGTAGAACCTCAGGGCTGGCCGGCCAACTCGCAGCCTGTGGAGGCCCCAGCTTCCCAGGGCAATGGGTGGCACCCCGTCCTTCCCAGGCCTGCTCAGGAGCCCACAAGCCCATTTCCGGGATCAGGAAAGTCACTGTTTCTCCAAGCCGGCCCCCCACCGAGCATAAAGCAGGGGAGGGTCACTAGCAGTGCCTCCTGCGGAGGGCTGTACCCCTATATGTCTCCTCCCCCAGCAGTCACAGGGGCCTTTAAAAAAGGTAAATGAGTGCCCGGCCGACGTGGCTCAGTGGTTGAGCGTCACCCTGTGGACCAGGAGGTCGTGGTTCGATTCCCGGTCAGGGCACATGCCCCGATTGCAGGCTTGATCCTCAGTGGGGGGCGTGCAGGAGGCAGCCGATCGATGATTCTCTCTCATCATTGATGTTTCTATCTCTCTTGCCCTCTTCCTTCCTCTCTGAAATCAATAAAAATATATTTTTAAAATATTTTTTTTCTTTAAAAAAAAAGATAAATTAGTGAAATTCTCCAAAAACTGTCCACTGCTCTGAGAATTTCATTCAACATCCTGACCGGGCTGCCACCTGCTCCAGGATCTCTTCTTGCCTACCCCTCTCAACCCGTCTCTCCCCACCCTTGCCCTCTTGGGTCAGCCTTGAGGCCCACAGTCATTTTCTCCTGTTTCTCTTTTCTTTTCGCTTGGAGAAGTGTCTGCTCTCCAAGTGCATGCGCTCATGTCCCAGGCCCGTGTCCTCTCGTCCCAGGCCTGCCTTGGAAGCCCTCTCGTCACACCTCAACTATCACTTCCTCCCAGGCACCTTCCCGGGCCACCCGAGGGACTGTCCCAGGCATAACCACATCACCCTCTTTATGATCTCTTCCCAGAGCACTTCCGATGACCTGAACTCCTCTGATGAACGGGCTTATGGTGCTGCCGTCTGCCACCACGCGAGCCCTGGAGGAGGTCCTGCACCCGGCGGGCTCTCAGTCAGTGTCTGAGGAGTGAGTGAGTGAGCGAGTGAGTGAAATGCCTGGCGCACAGCCCACCCTCCACAGAGGTTTTTATTGTCACACATAACATATCCCCATCCCGCCCTAACCAGTTTGGCTCAGTGGATAGAGCGTCAGCCTGCGGACTCAAGGGTCCCAGGTTCGATTCCGGTCAAGGGCATGTACCTTGGTGGCGGGCACATCCCCAGTAGGGAGTGTGCAGGAGGCAGCTGATCGATGTTTCTCTCTCACCGATGTTTCTAACTTTCTATCCCTCTCCCTTCCTCTCTGTAAAAAATCAATAAAATATATTTTTAAAAAAACATATCCCCATCCCAAGCCCTCTTCTTTTTTTAAAATATATTTTTATTGATATCAAAGAGGAAGGGAGAGGGAGTGAGAGATAGAAAAATCAATGATGAGAGAGAATCATGGCTGTTTCCTGCACACCCCCCACTGGGGATTGAGCCTGCAACCCGGGCATGTGCCCTTCACCGGAATCGAACCCGGGACCCTTCAGTCCGCAGGTCGATGCTCTATCCACTGAGCCAAACCAGCTTGGGCCCAAGCCCTCTTCTTGCTCCTAAGCCTCCCTCAGGCTCCTGGGAACGTCGGTGGAGGTCTCCTTCAGCTAAAAAGCACTCCACTGTCCGTGAGAGGCCCTCACTGCTTGCCACCCACAGTTCCCTCACCTGGCATGTCTGGCACCCTCTCTGCCAAAGGCAGCCCCTTAGGCACTAGCAGTGCTGGCGCCTTTCATGTGCAGGTGGCACGGGGCGGACTGCTCACCAGGTGTACACACCGTGCCCCGCTGAGCCAGGGCACCGCCCTCCTCCGGGAATTGGCTGGCTTTCCCCCCAGCAATGTTTGTTTTAGGGATTAAAGTTAGAGTGGCGGAGCCTGTCATTTCCAGAATCATTCCTTCCTTCCCTGGCGGCCAGCAGTACATTTGTTATTTTATTTTCCCAAGACCCTGATCACAGCGTCCCAGACAAGTTGGTTGATAGCATCATCCAACGGAAAAACTCTCCGATACTTGCTTAGCCATGGGCAGACTCGCTGGCTTCACGGGGGAGGCCTGGACCCAGAGTGGCACCCCTTTCGCGCCTTTTTCGGGTCAGCCTTGAGGCCCACGGTCATTTTCTCCTGTTTCTCTTTTCTTTTTTCTTCTTTTTTAAAAATATATTTTATTGATTTTTTTTTATTTTTTTTTTTTACAGAGAGGAAGGGAGAGGGATAGAGAGTTAGAAACATCGATCAGCTGCCTCCTGCACACCCCCTACTGGGGATGTGCCCGCAACCAAGGTACATGCCCTTGACTGGAATCAAACCTGGGACCCTTCAGTCCGCAGGCCAATGCTCCATCCACTGAGCCAAACTGGTTAGGGGTCTCTTTTCTTTTTAAGTAGTGAAGTAACCCCCACCCAGACACACCGCCTTTATCTGGCACAGTGCAGAAATGGGCTGCCCTGGCCGGTTTGGCTCAGTGGATAGAACGTCAGCCTATGGACCAAAGGGTCTCAGGTTCGATTCCGGTCAAGGGCATGCACCTGAGTTGCAGGCTCCTTCCCAGCCCGGGCCCTGGTAGGGGCGCCAGTAGGAGGCAACCAATCGATATGTTTCTCTCATAGTGATGTTTCTCTCTTCCTTTCCCTCTCTCTTCCACCCTCCCTAAAAATCATTGGAGAAATATCCTCGGGTGAGGATTAACAAAACAAAACAAAAAGAAACTTAACTCTAGAAGAAGAAAAAAAAAAAAGAAATGGGCTACCTCATGTTAGTAAATTTTCAAAATAATGTCTTCCAGGCACCAACACTTGGAACAAATAAATTTTAAAAACAGCTTTGTTGAGGTGTGATTGACACACTGTAAACGGAGCATGTTTAAAGTGTGCAGCTTGATCTGTGTTGACGTTCCCATACGCCCGTGAAACCATCCCCACCGTCTAGATAATGAACATATCCATCATTCCCAAGAGGTTCCTTCCGCCCCGCGGCCCCCCTCCCCGGCAGCCACCGATCTGCCTTCCAAAGGCACATTCGATGCCGAGCTGCCTCACCCACTTCCCCACCCTGTAAACAGGGTGATCAGCCCGATTGTTCCCGTCCAGGTTCTGCATGATCATTAACGTTACTGAAAGCCGTGTCCTCAGATGTCAGGGAGAGACGCAGACTGTTTGCCGTGCGCACTAAATGGCCCCATTGTTGCACTGCCGTGCCTGGCAGGTTGGGGTTTCGGAGTTTCTCCCTCGCTGCCAGCTGCCTCGGCGCACAGTTCCCAGCAGACCACTCCTGGGGCCTCGCAGGCTGCACACCATCGCCTCCTCCTCGCCATTCCCATTCCTCACTCCCCATCAGTGGTCCTCAGCCAGGGGCACTTTGGCCCCCCAGGGGACATTTGGCAATGCCTGGGGACATTTATGGTGTCCTAATGGCGACGGAGTGCCGCTGGCTCCTACCACGTGTTGAGAGACGGGGGTGTTGCTAAACATGCGACGCACACAGGACAGCCCCACGAAAAACAGGGATCCAGCCCAAGAAGTTAATGTGCTGAGGTTGAGAAACCCCTTCCAGATGCCAGAACTAACTGGGAAAGGGAACAAGAAGTCATGACAATTGACGGCTGTACTTTTCTGGATCAAGAGGGAGAAGGAGCCCTGGCTGGTTTGGCTCAATGGATAGAGCGTCGACCTATGGACTGAAGGGTCCCGGGATCGATTCCGGTCAAGGGCACATGCCCGGGTGGCGGGCTCGAGCCCCAGTAGGGGACGTGCAGGAGGCAGCCGATCCATGATTCTCTCTCATCATTGATGTTTCTCTCTCTCTCTCCCTCTCCCTTCCTCTCTGAAATTAATAAAATATATTTTTTAAAAAGGGAGAGGGAAAGGCAGAGGTTTATTGGAGCTGCAAGGCCTCATGGTAGGACAGAGTCAGGAAGACCTTAGCTGTCTCAGCTACCTCCTTCCAGGCATGGGCACTGGCTTCCAAGGAGAAGCTCTAAGGGTCTCAGCTTGAAGCACCAGGGCCCAGCACTCAGTAGGCGCTCAATGAATGTCTCTCTGATTGCACCCAACATACCTACTAGGTGCTCAGTCCTGGGTAGCAGTGGCTAGAGTCTAGCCCAGGGGTGGGCAAACTTTTTGACTCGAGGGCCACAATGGGTTCTTAAACTGGACCGGAGGGCCGGAACAAAAGCATGGATGGAGTGTTTGTGTGAACTAATATAAATTCAAAGTAAACATCGTTACATAAAAGGGTACAGTCTTTTTTTTTTTAGTTTTATTCATTTCAAACGGGCCGGATCCGGCCCGCGGGCCGTAGTTTGCCCACGGTTGGGCTAGACGTTGGAGGCAAGGCAGGAGACACAGAAGGGAGCCATTAAAACCGACCAGTGAGTGTGGGACTTGGCAGAACCAGCTGAGGAAAGATCAGTGCAGACCCACCCCAGTAACTGGGAAAATGAGGGCTGGCCATGACGGGATCCTGTCCCAGCGGCCCAGCCATTTCACCACCACATCACTTCTGGCTCCTCCCCCCACCCACAGGCACCCTTTTTGCTTGTCATATAAAGGAGACTTTTCCAAAGTGGTTTAGCCAGAACGGGCAGGGCCCTGCCCCAGGTTGGGGTAGGAGGAGCCTGGCGGTTGCCCAGCAGCGCTCAGGAGGGACTCCAGGTGTCTGCAGCTGGAGGGTGAAGTATGGGCATGCTTTATTCCCCTCTGCATGACTTCCAGGTTTTGTTACTTGATTATACTGTAGACCAGCGGTCGCCAACCTTTCGGACCTCACGGACCACCGGTTGGCGACCACTGCTGTAGACACTCCTGAAAATGCATGTAGGCAAAACTCACAAATCCCACCCTTTCAGAGAAAACAATTTTGTTGTGTGGCCTTCTATTCAAATATGAAGGTGGTGTAGTCGTTTCTAAAAAATATTTTTTTTTATTGATTTCAGAGAGGAAGGGAGAGGGAGAGAGAGATGGAAACATCAATGGATGAGAATCATCGATCGGCTGCCTCCTGCACGCCCCCTACCGGGGATCGCGTGCAATGTTGGCATGTGTCCTGACTGGGATTCGAACCGTGACCTTCTGGTTCATAGGTCGACGCTTAACCACTGAGCACGCCGGCCGGCAGTGTAGACATTTTTATGAAAACCAGGTGTGGGTGCTGCAGCCGAAGGCTTGAGGTGCCTGAGAGTGAGGAGGAGGTTTAGAGAGAAGGGGACCCCCGAGAGCACACCACGGGGACACTGGGAGTGGCCCTGGTGAGTGTGACTGGGTGGATTTAACTGGGGGGTTGCTCTACGGAGCCTCCCAGATGAGCCCCAAATCCAGAGAAAAAGAGGCCTCGCTGGCTGGGTACTTCTCTCCCGGGTCTCTGCTGGAAAGGTGAGAACCCCAGTTACTGCCCTCTTCCCTTGGGCCTTAACTAACCATCATGCCCTGCTTCCCCCCACAGGTGGACATCCCTCCTGTTCGCCAGGCTTCTGTCACATGGTGCCCCAGCCTACTGACTGCTGTGTCGAACTGATCCAGTGGGATCCACAGGTCAGTACAGCTCCTACGGCCCCAAGTCCGGACTCCTGGGCTCCAGGGGAGTTAACTTCCTAGGGCAAGCATGTCAAACTCAAAGGCTTAACACCAGCCAAATAAATGAGGCATGCGGCCCGCTGGCCGCGAGTTTGACATGTTTGTCCTGGGGCCTTAGGGCCTCTGATATGGATACCGAGAGAACAATACCTGCCCACGGGACTTGCTCCTGTGAGATAAAGGACCTCGCTGGCTAGCAGTCAGCAACTGAAGCAAGCTGGACTCCCTCCAGAGGGGTCTCAAGGAGAGTGGCTATAGCAACAGAATCCTGGTACATGACAACCCCATGGGAAACCCTGGGTGAAGCCAGGGCAGGTGCTCACTTGCTCAGTCCTAGCCTCTCCCCTCCCTCCAGCGATGCACCTCTGAGCAACACAGTTCCAGGATTTCAGCTCTAAGTGCCAGAGGCAGGCTTGGAGGGCCAGGCTTGGAGGAACCGGCAAGTTCAGTGCCGCCTCTTCCTTCACCCCAGACCACCGAGGCTCCCCTGGGACCAGCCTCCCGGATGGGTGGGGGGCCTAGAGGCAGCCAGTGTTGCTATCTCTCGGGCTTGACCTCTCTTCTAGGTCAGAGGACAAGAGGGAAGGGGACTGGGAGACTCCAAGGCTGGATGGGGCCAGCCCTGTCCCAGTTTCCCCTCAATGGGGTTCCCTTGCTCAGACTAAGGAAGAACCGTGACTCACTTCCTGCCTCGCTGGGTCTGACTGCAGAAGTATTGTTTCTACCAACAGTGGCTGCTGCTGGTGGGACTACCCCAGTGTGGCCCCCACAGCCAGTCCCTTCTTGGGAAAGTTCCCACTCCCAGTCTTCTCCCCCAGATAAGTTTTCGGAACCCCTCATTCTTCCCCAGGTTTCCGGGTTTTGCAGCATTTGTAAGGATGCCCGTATGATACCTTATCCTATTAACTGAATATTATCTCCATTTTATTTTTTAAAAGTTATTTATTTATTTATTTATTTATTTATTTATTTTATTTTTGGTATTCCTCACCCGAGGATATTTTCCCATTGATTTTTAGAGAGAGAAGAGAAGGACAAAGACAGAGAGAGAGAAGCCCCAATGTGAGAGAGACACACTGATTGGTTGCCTCCCGCATGCGCCCCCGACCAGGGCCAGGGATCAAGCCTACAACCGAGGTACGTGCCCTTGACCAGAATCGAACCTGGGACCCTTCAGCCCGGCTAGGGCTAGTATCTCCATTTCAGAGCGGGTAAATTGAGGCTTAGTTACTGTGTGTCTAAGGTGGCGTAAAATAGTAGAGTAGGGATTTGAACCCAGGCTCGCTGACTGGCACGTCACAGAGTGAGTCCTTAGGGATGTCACCTAACCTCTCTGGCCCGATTTTGTCCTGTGTAAAATGTAGTGATGCACAAAAGGTACCTACAGGAGCCTGGCCAGTGTTGCCCAGTGGTTGAGTGTCGACCTATGAACCAGGAGGTCAAGGTTTGATTCCTGGTCAGAACACATGCCTGGGTTGTGGGCTCCATCCGCTTTGGAGAAGGGGGGGGGGGGGCGATCAATGATTCTCTCTCATCATTGATGTTTCTATCCCTCTCCCTTTCTCTCTCTGAAATCAATAAAAACATATTTTTTAAAAAGGTACCTAAAGGAAAATGTATTAACTACATCGACCTCATAGGGCTTGCAGCGAGGAAGAAGCCAGTTACAGGGGAAGAGCTGAGAAGAGCAGTCGGCTCCCGGCAAACACTGGGCCCTGTTCATTTTTGTCCTTCTCCCCAAACCCGTGCTGAGGAGGCCACTGGACAGCACTTTGCTGCCAGGTTATCTCCGGGTGAATAGGAAGGGATGGGCAGAGACTGCTCTGCGACCTTGGACTAACCTCGCCCGGGGAGCTCTTGGCCACATGTCCCCTCTTTTCTCTCGCAGCTCAAGCAGGGGCGGCCTCGCCAAGGAGCACAGACGTTTTCTAGGGCAGGGACCCAGGGAGGGGGCCGAGTTGGCTGGCACATTGCAAGCCCCGGGCTGCGGGCTCTGCCAGGCGCCGCGGCCTGCTAGCTCGGGAACTCGGACAAATTATTTAAACTTTGTACGCCTCAGTTTCCTTATCTGTAAAATGGGATTAGTGTCAGCTTGAAGGGATTATGTGGGTTAAATAATGTACATAAGAGGGAGATAGTGTAACGTGCCTGGCCCGGTGCCCCGTCGGCCGGTTACATGAGAAGGCGGTGGGCTTCTCGTTCTGCTTCCCCACCTGTCTGTGCAGGTAACAGGTTCGAGCCAGGTCTCGGCTCCCGGGACAGTGGTCCGAGGTTTGCCGCCTGCTGTGCGGTCCGATCACAGGTGGGTGCCCCCCGATCCGTCGTCCAGGGCATCTCCCCGGTCAGGCTCAAACTCGCGGCTCCGGAGTGGGAAGTGGGGGGGCGGGCCAGTTCCCCCCAGAATCCAGCCGCCTCCGGGCTCCCAGATCCGCCTCTAGCCCTTCCCAGCCCAGGCCGAGGGTCTGCGGGTCTCCGCGCCTCGGGCCGGAGGAGCTCGCAGCGCGCGGAGCCG